TTTTATTGTTGTATTAACAAGTTGGGTTAAAAGAAAAAGAAGTGAGGGTACGTCTTTTGGAAATTGAAAATAAATTATTATTTTATTGTTGCATTAATAAGTTGGGTCAAAAGAAAAAGAAGTGAGGGTACGTCTTTTGAAAATTGAAAGTAAATTATTATTTTATTGTTGCATTAATAAGTTGGGTCAAAAGAAAAAGAAGTGAGGGTACGTCTTTTGGAAATTGAAAATAAATTATTATTTGATTGTTGCATTAACAAGTTGAGTCAAAAGAAAAAGAAGTGAGAGTACGTCTTTTGGAGATTGAAAATAAATTATTATTTTATTGTTGCATTAACAAGTTGGGTCAAAAGAAAAAGAAGTGAGGGTACGTCTTTTGGAAATTGAAAATAAATTATTATTTTATTGTTGCATTAACAAGTTGAGTCAAAAGAAAAAGAAGTTTTATATGTCTTTTATAAATTGAAAATAAATTATTATTTCACTGCTGCATTAACAAATTGTGACTAATTCTCAAATTTCTAAATTTCTTGGCCCTTAAATTACCAAATTTTCAACTTTCGTACTTCTGAATTCCGAAATGACTAAATTTCCAAGTGTCCAAACTCTCAGACCATCAAATTCTCACGTTTCCATAGCTTCTCGTCTCATCGCAGCCCCAAACGCAGGGAATTATCAAAATTCGTTCTCCATTCTCCATATACATATATAAATTACACATACGAACATCCACCATATAAAATTATCCATAATTAAAATATAAGTAAATAAATTTTAACCTAATTTAACACAAACGTTCCCAACAGGAAATTATCAAGCACCTACCGTATGAAATGATCCATACCACACGAAGTCCATAATTAAAATAAAACTGAATAAATTCTAAACTTGGTAGAATTTGAAAATAAAAGTAAATAAATTTTAACCTAACCTAATACAAATATTCCTAACAGGAAATTACCAAACACCCACCACATAAAATGATCCATACTACACGAAATAATCCATAATTAAAATGAACCTAAATAAATTCTAAACTTGAAAGAATTTAAAAATAAAAATAAATAAATTCTAACCTAACCTAACACAATCGTCCCTAACAGGAAGTTATCAAACACCTACCACATAAAATTATTCCTACACGAAATAACCCATAATTAAAATGAACCTAAATAAATACTAAACTTGATATCATTAAAAAACAAAACCAAATAAATTTTAACCTAACCTAACAAACATTCCTACCAGGAAATTATCAAACACGTACCACATAAAATTATCCATACTACACGAAATAATCCATAATTAAAATGAACCTAAATAAATTCTAAACTTGAAAGAATTTAAAAAGAAAAATAAATAAATTCTAACCTAACCTAACACAATCGTCCCTAACAGGAAGTTATCAAACACCTACCACATGAAATTATCCCTACACGAAATAACCCATAATTAAAATAAACCTAAATAAATTCTAAACTTGATATCATTAAAAAACAAAACCAAATAAATTTTAACCTAACCTAACAAACATTCCTACCAGGAAATTATCAAACACGTACCACATAAAATTATCCATACTACACGAAATAATCCATAATTAAAATGAACCTAAATAAATTCTAAACTTGAAAGAATTTAAAAAGAAAAATAAATAAATTCTAACCTAACCTAACACAATCGTCCCTAACAGGAAGTTATCAAACACCTACCACATAAAATTATTCCTACACGAAATAACCCATAATTAAAATGAACCTAAATAAATACTAAACTTGATATCATTAAAAAACAAAACCAAATAAATTTTAACCTAACCTAACAAACACTCCTACCAGAAAATTATCAAACACGTACCACATAAAATTATCCCTACACGAAATAGTCCATAATTAAAATACTATTGCTCGAGCATAGTAATGAACGTGTTAACCAAAAGAAAAAATGGATGCGATTTGGCAAGAGACCTCGGTAATAAACATCCGAGTGAAGCGGTTAAATAAAGCACCATGTAAAATCGTCCGTGTTAGGTTCGTCTCGTGGCATCCTGAGGCTTGAATCGCAAAGGCATTCACCGTGGATGAAAAGAGGTATTATTCGCTTTATTTCGTGCATCAGCTAATTAATTGTCGTGCCCGGGGCCGACACGAGACGACAAAATTACCGGGGACTGGCATGCATCGCGAAACAAAAGCGCCTACGCGAGAGACCGTCGTTTACGTTTCAACGTAATTGGCCGGCACATAATTAATCTTCACGGTTCTCGAAACGCATCGTTGATTCGAGATACATATATGCACGTGTTTGTACCGCTTGTACGAGAGGCTCAATCCAAACAACGATTATAAAGCTAACGATCTTGCCAAACGAATGGAAAATTGTCTTGATTCGGTGATCGTTAGGTCTAACGGAAAGTTTCGTTCTTGCATTATTTTCATGAGTATGATTCGTTCGTTGCGACGCATGTTTGCGTCGTGACGCACTGGTTGTGATCAATTTTATTTGAATTTTTTAAATGCTTCAATTGTTCGTGTATAATTATAGTTTGAGTAGTCGATTGCATTATACGAAATTGATGTAATATTCTAACTTTCTTTGTTTGTTTTAATTGGTTGGTGTATAGGCTTGATGTTATGTCGAGGCACGTAACTTGTCATCACTATAAAATTTAAGAATTCTAAATTCTTTACTGCAAAATTGAAAAATTGAAAAATTTCCTAGTACAAAATTTGAAAATTACAAAATTTCCTAGTACAAAATTTTTAATTTCCAAAATTCCCTAGAACAACACTTAGAAGTTCCAAAATTCCCTAGGACAAAACTTAAGATTTCCAAAATTCCCTAGTACAAAATTTAGAAGTTCCAAAATTCACTAGGACAAAATTTAGAAGTTCCAAAATTACCTAGGACAAAACTTAAGATTTCCAAATTTCCCTAGTACAAAAATTAGAAGTTCCAAAATTCCCTAGTACAAAACTTGAGATTTCCAAAATTCTTCAGTACAAAATTTAAGAGTTCCAAAATTCCCTAACACAAAATTTAAAAATTCCAAAATTTTTCACTGCAAAATTTAAAAATTCCAAACTTCTCTAGTACAAAATTGTAATATTTCAAAATTCCCTAGTGCAAAGTGTAAGATTTCCAAATTTCCCTAGTACAAAATTTAGAAGTTCCAAAATTGCCTAGTACAAAACTTGAGATTTCCAAAATTCTTCAGTACAAAATTTAAGAGTTCCAAAATTCCCTAACACGAAATTTAAAAATTCCAAAATTTTCCACTTCAAAATTTAAAAATTCCAAACTTCCCTAATACAAAATTGTAATATTTCAAAATTCCCTAGTACAAAATTGTAATATTTTAAAATTCCCTAGTACAAAATTTAAATTTTCTAAAATCCTCCACAGCAAAATTTCAAAATTCCATAATTCTCTACTGCAAAATTTCTTACTACAATATTTCAGAATTAAAAAATTCTCTTCTGCAAAATTTCAAAATTCATAATTACCTAGTACAAAATTAAAAAAATCCAAAATTCTCCACTGGTAAAATTTCAAGATTCCAAAATTCTCCACTGGTAAAATTTCAAAATTCCAAAATTCTCCCCTGGTAAAATTTCAAAATTCCAAAATTCTCCAGGTAAAATTTCAAAATTCCAAAATTCTCCACTGCAATAAATACATATATAAGTACCCACTATCACTCGACCTATCAACCAATCAAAATGGCCAATCTTCGTTTCCCATTTCATGTCACAAAACATTATTACCTTCGAACCGTCTACTATTTTGTTGAACTAAAGAATACTTGTACATATCAGCTGGTGTTCTAATACTTCACTACTCTATTTTCAATATAAAATCAAACGTGTTCTTAATACTGTTAATTTCAGTATAATTTGTTAGACATTTATATTTCTCGTTAAATTTGCGAATAGTAAAATTCACGAGATTCCTTCAGCCAGCATTAAAGACATTAAGATAAACACGGACCATTTGGATTTTTGCGCGGGATCATCTGCCAAAATACGAGGAACGAAACGCGATCACGAGTGCTAGTCGTTGTCACATTTAGACCGCAATACGAGTCACGAGCGTGGTTGTTTCGACGCGGCGAATTTAATTCATGGCACGTTATAAATTATAAGGGGTGACGGAGAAACCTGCTGGCAGGAGCGAGAAAGGAGATAAAAGAGACGGGAAGACGAGCGAGAGGATAAATAACAGGAACGTTAGCGGCTCCGCGAAACAGTAACTTGCATTTTCACTTTTACGTTATGGAATCGTGTTTCTACCTGTCTCTATAAAAAGAATATTTCCCGGAAAAAGCGTAACGAACGTTGTCGTTATTTATCGCGTTCGCATAAAGTTCGCGCGGAGAACCGACCGTCGAATATTTCGTGGAAGATACGTTTACGTGATCCTATTTATTATTTCGCTGTGGATGTGCAAATGTTCTCCCTGTTTTATTTGCATTTTCGTTGGTTGGGAATTGAGGGAAGGGTTTACAATGCGATGATGAAATAAATATTATCTTATTTTATATAGAATTTTGTGTAATTTTAAACAGGTAGGATGATTTGATATAAGTTAACTGAAATGTTATTTTTTGTGATGCAAATAATTTTGTATAATTTTAAACAAGTGGGATTTGATATAAGTTGACTGAAATGGTATTTTTTATGATTCAAATAATTTTGTATAATTTTAAACAAGTGGGATGATTCGATATAAGTTGACTGAAATGGTATTTTTTATGATGCAAATAATTTTGTATAATTTTAAACAAAGGGTGATTTGATATAAATTAACATAAACGTCATTTTTTTGTATTCAAATAATTTTGTATAATTTTAAACAAGGGGTGATTTGATATAAGTTAACATGAACGTTATAATTTATGATATAAATAATTTTGTATAAATTTATTTATTTAATTTTGAATAAAAGAGAGATGTTTTCACTGAACAAATAATGATATGAATGCTGTATTTCTGTTGCAGTGCGTATTGTACCTGTGGGCACTTAAATTGTGCCATCCAAACACACTGTTTCTCCTCAGAGGGAACCACGAGTGCCGTCATCTCACGGAATATTTCACATTTAAGCAAGAATGTAAGTAATCCACCTTTGAACAAAATAATTATAAAAATTCTTCACTGCAGAGTTTCAAAATTATCTAATTTTCTGACTACACTATTTAAGTATTCAAAAATTCCAATATTTCTCTATTGCAAAATTTCAAAACTCCATAGTACAAAATTTCCAAATTCCAAAATTCCCTAG